GTATAACAAATATTTGAGCGCTCCACCCGCCAGGGTTCCAAGTAGAGATGGGCACGGGCCGGAATATTTGCTGTCAGCACGAACTCGTGCGGGCCTGGGCGTTCAGTAAAATTTCATAAAAGCACGAAAAGGCACGAAAAAGCCCGTTGCTAATACTAAAAATTTAGATGAGCTTTTGTTTTTATACAAAAAAAAAAAATAGTACATATTTAAAACTCTTTTGATAAGAGAAAAGCAAAAAAAGAAATATTTGGAAACCGATAGAAAATATATGATACTTAGTAGTTTTGTTTACATACATATCTGTACATAAAATACCTTCCACTTTTTCTACTTCCCAGAAAATATATTATAAAAATCTACAATAAAAGTTGGCTCTTTATTTCCGGGCTGGGGCGTGTCCCGTCGTGCCGGGCCGGGCCGGGCCGGGCCCCACTAAAATTCTTAACGTGCGGGCTGGTGCGTGTTTTTGAAAGTTGATTTTGCACCATTTCAGCCGTTTTCCGGCTATATTTAGCCGGTTGTGATAGCAAACAGCCGTAGAAAATTCAACTTAGCCGACACCTGATTTGTTAGCCGTTTTGCAAAAATGTTAGCGGTTTTTAGCCGATTTCGCTATTTGCTGTCTTTTATTAAAATTAAAATATATGTGCATATAAGTTTTCATTTTAACATATTTGCCGATCTAAAATCTACATATTAGAAACTGCTAGCCTTAATAATAATAATAATAATCCCAACGGTTTTTACCCTCCATTCCCGCCCATCCGCATGAGGGGCGCAGTCCGCATGACGTACGGAACCAGTATTTTCAATTTTTGGGCGAGTCACGATAGGCAGGAGTTTGTTAATTGTCGAGATCTAAAACTGTTCAGCTACAGAACTAAATTCATCAGCCGATTTTATGTCTATATTTTAATGATTCGTTTATTGAGAGAGGACAGTATCGATTTCTTAATGCTGAAAAGCGGATCTGATATATCAAACGTGCTGGAATGAGAGTTGAAATCCTGGCATAAGCAACGGAGTGGGTCGTGCAATTCAAAATTAGTTTTACAAGCTTTCAGAAATAGGGGGCAAAAGTGTCTTGATACCCGGGAGGGAACATTAAGGCTAACTTCGCCAAGAAGAAGCAGACTTTAAACTGAGCCTGTTAGAAGCGGACTTGAAATTGAAAAAAATAAATAAATAAAATTGAAAGAATTGATGCCGCTTATTATTTTTTTATGAAAGTATAGCTGACAAACACCATTTAAATCCAAATTTCATATTTTATTAAAAAATTATGAAAATTTTGAATTTTTTTTAATTTAAAATTTTAGTATACTAAAGTACAAATTTAAGGTAGCTGGCACTTACCGTTGATTATTGAAATTTTTTTGTTGGCGGTGTTCCGCATTTTTTCTCCATATAAAAAATTTTAGAACGTACTTTTTATGGAAAAAATTCGTAACACCGTTATAAAAAACAAATACGGAAATCAACGGTGTCCTAGCTACTTAAAATTTTCACCATATCATAAATAAATTTGAATGGACTACAAAACTGCATACATACCATTTTGTAAATATGCTGATTAAAAAGTTAAAAGTTGGTGAAAATTTTGCGCAAAGTCTGAAATTGATACTTATATGGTGTTTGTTGAGTAATCAGCTATATTTGCATAAAACAATAATAAACATTAAATAAACTAAATAAAAACAGTCAACGCTTGTGAAGCAAAACTCTATGGGAAGACACTACTTGTGAATCATTGTATCATGGTGCCAGCAGTTCTTATTATTGCTCTGAGACTGGCATGTGAGAGAGTGAGTAGGACATTAAAAACAGGAGTTTCGAATACAATTAAATAGTAGAATTGTTAAAATCTTAAACAGCGATCGGCTTGTTCGATATAAATTAGTTTGCCTTATCCTGAGCTTCGCCTGAAAAAAAAAATTCACCCGAAAATTTGTCATCCGCCCATAGTAAAACCATGTAAACCAAAAGTGATAAGTGAACCGGTTCGGCGAAAATGAAACTCATGATAAGGCTGAATGGCGTTTTCTTTTTTTCGAAATAATGTTGACCTGTTTTCATCAACCCTTTCACAGCTTCACGTGTTCATTTCTCTAAATATTGCCCTCCGACTAAGCAAAATACTTTATACTAATATAGCCATTTATCCGGACGAAAAGTAACCTGTGCAAATGTTACAATGTAAGGAATTTTTTTAAATAAAAAAGAAAACGCCATAAGTTGGTAATTGATCTTTTTTTTATATTTAAGTAATACAAACATGACTTCTGATGTACGTATAACGACAGTTTCTTTTGTTAAACAAAAATAGTTTGCAATGAATTTACTAAAAAAAAATAATTATTTTACTAGTCCTTCTACTTGCGATTTCTTTAAATAAAACGTGTGAAATTAAGTTGAAACCTTTTAGCCGTTTTTAGCCAGCCTAAAAAGTTCTGGCAACACTGTACACGAGCCTCTATACAGTTCAATGTATTCTTATGGACGCACTCAATTGAGTGTGAGCTTGAAAAAAGGCATAGTATGCATTTTAAATTAGTTTTTATTCTAAAATTCTGAAAGATATTTTAATTCTCTATCTTTTTATGTATCAACTGTGGCAAAAAGTTAATTAATAACGAAGATATTGGTCAAAATAAAAAGCTCACGCTCACGCTCACATTGAATTGTATAGCAGGCTTAAAGCTCGGAACACTTTGACGACAGCAAGCGACAAGCAGCATCTGTCAAATTTTAAATACACACGTTCTTACGGACACAATCATTTTGAAGACAGCACGACATCTTGGCTGCAGGACTGCAATTGTCGACGTCGCCAAATTAAATCTATTTCTAATTTTGCCGGCGACAAT